GTGTGAGGTGCAGGACGCCCAGGTGTGAAAAGCGCAGACTCTCTGTGCAGCCTCCCCTGGGGGCTGGGTGTCCACCGTCTCCCCCATGTGACCTTCGTGCCAAGGGCTGGGGGAGAGGAAGCCCAGGGCCTGGCGGCAGCAGCCGTATGCCTCCTGGGTGTGGACTGCGGGCCTGAGACCCCCCCAGCCGTCCCGGGTTGGCAGACGGCAGCCCATCCCCCCATCCTTGCAGCCCGCACCCCCTCCCCCAGCTCAGCCACCATAGCAGGGACAGGAAGACCGGTTGAAACCTTTAGAAAACGCTTGAGAAACTGCAAAAAGACGCATGCTGATGAAAAACAGTCCTGCGGTCGGGCGTCTACAAAAAAAGGGGAAATTCTGCCGGGGGAGGGGGAGCCGCCCCGCCCCCTCCGGAAGATGCGCAGGTTGGCCCCGCGCGGCCGGCCCGGGAGGGTGGCGGGGTGGCGGGGTGGGTGGGCAGGGGAGGGCCCGGCCCCGCCCCCGGGGACCCTCAGATCATCTTCATGTTGAACTTGCGCGCGCCCCCCTGGCCCGCCGCGGCCGCCGGCCCGTCCACCTTGCGGAACGAGTACTCCACGGAGAAGTTGTTCTTGTGCTGCCCGCGGCCGCGGCTCCACACGAACAGCAGCACGAAGCAGAAGAGGACCACGCCCAGGAACGTGATGCAGCCCATGGCGGTGGACACCAGGATGGTGGTGAGGTCCAGCGGCGCGCGCAGGGCCGCCAGCGTCTCGTTGCGCGCCTCGCCCGGGGTCCGGTTGGCGGCCGGCTCGGGGCGCACGCTCAGCGTGGCGAAGTAGGTGTCGTTGCCGCCCGCGTTGCTGGCCACGCACGTGTAGGTGCCGCTGTCCTGCGGCCGCGCGTCCCGGATCTCCAGGGTGCCCCCGGGCAGCACGCGCGCCCGGCCCGCGCTGGCGGCCGTCACCGCCCGGTGCTGCGGCGTCACCCAGGCCACGCTGGGCGCGGGCTCGCCCTCGGCGCGGCACAGGAAGCGCACGTCCTCGCCCGCGGCCGCGGTGACGCGCTGCAGCCGCCGCTCGCGGATCTTGGGCTTGCGGCACACGAAGTACTCGAACAGCACCGAGTCGGGCAGCTTGCGCAGCGCGTCGCCGCGGACCTCGGCAGGGGTGGCGCAGGCCGGCAGCCGCCCGTCGAAGTTGAGCGTCTTGCGCCGCTGCACGATCCACAGCAGGCGGCAGTCGCAGGCCAGCGGGTTCCCGTCCACGCGCAGCGTCTCCAGCGTGTTCACCGAGTGGAAGGTGCTCTCCTCCAGCGTGGACAGCAGGTTGTCGGACAGGTTGAGCAGGCGGATCTGGCGCAGGCCCAGGAAGGCCTGCGGCTCCACCACGGCCAGCAGGGCCCCGGCCAGGTGTAGCTCGCGCAGGCGGACCAGGTCCCGGAACGAGCCGCGCGGCACGGTGCTGATGGGGTTGTGCGAGAGGTTGAGGCAGGTCAGGTGCGCCTGGTGGCGCAGCGCGGCGGCCGGCACGGCGCTGATGTTGGTGTGGGTGACGGACAGCGAGCTCAGGTTCAGGCCCCGCAGGCTGCCCGCCGCCACCTCCTCCAGCAGCGGCCAGTTGTCGATCTCCAGGTGCAGCAGCCCGGGCAGCCTGCGGAAGTTCTGGTCCTCCAGGGCGGCGATGGCCAGGTGGCGCAGCCGCAGGGCGCCCAGGCCGCGCAGGTGGCCCAGCGACTCCCCGGACAGCGCCGTGAGGTTGCAGCGCTCCAGGGTGAGCTCCTCCAGCGCCAGCAGCCCCGCGAAGGCCCGGCGCGAGATGAACACCAGGTCGTTGTCGCCCACCTCCAGGCGCCGCAGGCTGCGCAGGTCCTGGAACGCGTAGTCCAGCAGGATCACCAGCTTGTTCTCGCTCAGGTCCAGCAGCGTGAGGTTGTCCAGGCGCGTGAAGACCCCCGGCGGGATGAGCTTCAGCTGGTTGCCCCGGAGACGCAGGACGCGCAGGCGCGGCAGGTTGGCGAAGGCGCCGGGCTCCACGTGCGCGATGGCGTTCTCGCTCAGGTCCAGCTCCTCCAGCGCGGGCAGCGCGGCCAGGTCGCCCGGGTTCAGGCAGCGGATGCGGTTGCGGCTGAGCTCCAGCAGGCGCGTCTCGGCCGGGATGCCTTCCGGCACGGCGGTCAGGCGGCGGCGCGCGCAGGCCACGGCGCGGGTCTGCGGGGTGCACTCGCAGCGGGCCGGGCAGCCTCCGGCCGGGGGCGGCGCCGCGGGCAGCAGCAGCAGGGGCAGGCTCAGGACGCACAGCCAGCAGGTCATGGTGCGGAGCGTGGGCCTAGGGCCGCGCCACCATCCTCCTGCGCACCTGCGGGCGGGGAGCGCGCAGCGTTAGCACCGTTAGCACCGCCCCCTCCCACTCCCAGGGCGCCTCCGCATCCCGCCCTCACCCCTAACCCGCCCCAGCACAGCGGCTCACGCCTGTAAGCCCAGGATTTTGGGAAGGTGAGGTGGGAGGATTGCTTGCGTTTGAGAGTTCGAGACCAGCCTGCACGAACATAGCGAGACTCCCATCTCTACCAAAAAATAAAAGGTTTAGACGCAAGCAGTGGTATAGACCTGTGGGCCCAGCTGCTCAGGAGGCTGAGGCAGGAGGATCGCTTGGGCTGCTCAGGAGGTTGAGGCTGCGGTGAGCTACGCTCGTGCCACTGCAAGCCAGTCTGGGTGACACAGTGACACCCCTGTCTCCAGTGGGGGAAAAAAAATAGCTGGTTTGGCCGGGCGCGGTGGCTCAAGCCTGTAATCCCAGCACTTTGGGAGGCCGAGGCAGGTGAATCACCAGGTCAAGAGATCGAGACCATCCTGGTCAACATGGTGAAACCCCGTCTCTACTAAAAATACAAAAAAATTAGCTGGGCATGGTGGTGCGTGCCTGTAGTTCCAGCTACTCAGGAGGCTGAGGCAGGAGAATTGCCTGAACCCAGGAGGCGGAGGTTGCGGTGAGC